GGTGTCGCCCGCGAGGGGGCGGCGCTGGACGCGGCTTTCCCGCGAAGGGATTGTGTTGGACAGCAAAGCTCTCTCCAACAGACAAGATATATGCTTTTAAAAAATCATGTAGATTAGAGGGTAGACTCTTCTGTTACTGTCTCCCCCTGCTGAGTAGTAAGAAACTGCCTGACCGGCGGACGCATGCCTGGAAATACGTGATTATTGTTGGATCATTAAAAATAAATGAAAGGGCTTTATTCGCATCTTGGGCGACGCCTTCTCACTGACTCCACTGCTGTATGCCTTTTGCAAAAAATATCAAAAGTATAATGGTCTTCTAGTAACGGATGCTTAGGGACGAGGAAATATTTTTATAGCGTTTGATTGACCAGTGAAATGAATTCCAAATTGTTTGGCCCATCTGGTATTTGCTATGAAGCCTCTCCTCCTAAGAAGACAAGCAGAGACAATTGGGATTGTTCAGCCTGGAGAAGACTCCCAGGACGCCTTATAACCAGTACTTCCAGTACTTTAAATACAGGGAAGGTGGACTCTTGATCAGGGAGTGCAGTGATAGGACAAGGGGTAACAGTTTCAAACTGAAAGAGGGGAGATTTAGATGAGATATTAGGAAGAAATTCTGTACTGTGCGGGTGGTGAGACACTGGTCCAGGTTGCCCAGAGAAGCTGTGGCTGCCCTGTCCCTGGAGGTGTTCAAGGTCAGGTTGGATGGGGCTTGGAGCAACCTGGTTTGGTGGGAGATGTCCCTGCCCAGGGCAGGGGGGTGGAACTAGGTGATCTTCCAACCCAAACCATTCTGTGAGTCTATGATTCCATATTTGCGGTAAAAATTATGTGCTTGATTTGGGAGGAAATTAGATGGAAGAGAACCGTGATCCTCTTGAGTTCTGAAAAATATGGGTCCTGAGATACCACAAAGCACCTACTGCAGCTAAGCACGGAGCCTTCTTGGAAAGTATCAATGAAGTAATGTCAAGACTGATGGTGTGAACATCCTAAAAATACTTGCTTATGCTTTAGCATTTGGTGAAAATACTGAAATTAAACTTCGGACAAATAGTTTATTCAGCCTAGAACTGAAGCAAAATGTAATCACCACTTTTTACAGATGTATTTTCTAAAAACTCAGTAATTGTGGGCTAGTTTTGTAATGACAATGCTTTGCTGAAAATCAGATGTTGAAATGAGTGACCTGAATGATAATACTGTTCTTATATACCTGAGAATTAAATTCAAATACCAATTATTTTTGAGAAACAACATTAAAAATAATAAGGGACAGGGGGGAAGTCAGCAGCGTAGCCCCACTTTGAACTTCTCATGCCATTAGTAATTAACACTGCTGATTTTGATCTTTTCTGCCCATCAAAAACACGACGACGCTGTCTTGGGAACAGCGTCTCTGCTGGCTCGGCGGCAGGCAGGCACTCCTGTGGACTAGGCCTGGTCTACCTGCAATACTTATTTCCCTTCAAAGGCGGCCTGAGGATTAGCATCTTCTCGTTCCTTTGTTCAAGAGCCGACCTATCTCACCCTTTCCTTTTAAGATCCCCCGCGCTGCCGGCGCCGCGGCCGCTCAGCGGGTGACTCGCTGCC